AATGGAGGGATGCATCAAAGGGCTACCCGTTCATTGGTATGCATTTCTGCTGAAAGCCCTCTTTACACTCATCACCCTGAGTATTAGTCGAAGTGGTAGCGTAATTACGCCAATTCTCTTTATTGGTGCGACGGCGGGTAGTTTTTTCGCCGATCGGGTAGGAGCGGACCAATCGACCTTTGCCGCCATTGGTTTTGTAAGCCTATTAGCGGGCACAACCAATACCCCCATTGCGTCGAGTATCCTGGCTATTGAATTGTTTGGGGCTACGGTTGCCCCCTATGCCGCAGTTGCCTGCGTCATCAGTTTTCTGATGTCTGGTCACCAAAGTTTATATACGTCTCAGCGCTTAAGTATCCGAAAATCGAACGCCTTGCCCTCCGAGTTAGGAAAAGAAATCAGCGACCTGAGCAGCTTTAGAAAGGAAATAGACATTCACATTCCTGACTGGCTCGCTAAATGGTGGCCAGCTGGTCGTAAATGATAAACTATAGCAAGTGATCCCGGCCAGAGGCCTATTGGGTAGTTTGCATCCTGGACAAATCGGCTGTTTAAGTTGAACGGCTATCGCTGTCATGTCAATCGAATACCATGTTCAATAGTTTTGCCCTGACTAAATTATAAGATGGGTTAGCACACGGGTCCTGGTTATAGAATCGCCTTTAACCAGATTATGCTTGTACACATTCCTTAGGAGATAGCCAGAGTGTGTTAGTTAAGTACAGAAAAGCGGTTAAAAAGAGTGTCCATAGTATGAAAGGAAAAAGGCGGTCTTTTCGAGGATAATCAGCCAAGTAGTCAGTTTAAACGTTAGTTCCTTACGTTGTCGGGATGAAGGGCCAGTTAATCAAACTATGAAAGTATTAGTCGTTGAAGACGAAGTTAGTTTAGCGTCGTTTATCAAAAAGGGGCTGGAAGCCGAATCGTTTAGTACCGACCTCGCCTATGACGGCTACGTTGGCAAACAGCTCTTCCAGAAAAACGAGTATGATGTCGTCATTTTGGACGTGAATCTACCGTCAATGAATGGGTTTGATCTTTGCCAGTTCATCAAACGAGAAAATGAACGAACTCCAGTCCTAATGCTCACCGCGCTGGACACCCTGGAAGATAAAATCCGGGGATTCGACGCGGGGGCGGATGATTATCTACCCAAACCCTTTGCCTTCAAGGAATTGCTGCTCCGACTTCGGGCCATCACCAAACGTCACATGCTTCGTCATTCAACGGTGTTGCGACTAGCTGACCTGACCCTGAACATGGATACCAAAGTTGTTATTCGGGCTGAAAAGCGTATCGAGTTAACCTCCAAAGAGTTTGCGCTACTGGAATATATGCTCCTGCATAAAGGCAAAGTCATTTCCCGCGCCGAACTGGCCGAACGGGTCTGGGAAACAGATTTTGATTCCAATACCAATGTCATTGATGTGTATGTCAATTACTTACGTAAGAAAATAGACAAAGAGTTCCCGGCTAAACTCGTGCATACGGTGATCGGCATGGGGTACTCCTTACACGAATAACAAGCCATGCCCAGCAACGTTGCTCTATGCTGATCCGTCACAAATTAACGCTCCTGTTCACGTGTATCGTGCTGGCCATCCAGATCGCCTTCACCAGCTTTGTTTACACGTTTTATTCGGTGTACCGACAACAAGGGTTCGCGGTTCGGTTGCAGGGAAAGGCCCGCCTGTTTGGTCGGGTTATGATTTCCCGTCATTCGCAGCAGGGTGTCCTGGACCGGGCACTCAATGCGACGGATCTGCAAACCCTCACCGAAGAGCATATCAGCATTTTTGACCAACAGGGCAACTTGGTCTTTACGAACCAACTGCCCGCTTTTGTGCAACGGGAGGCCCGGCTCATTCCCGGGCTTAGCCACAAAGCGCCACTTACCTTTACGATGAATCGGAATGAAGGGGTTGGCATTAAATACCGGGACCGGGGGCTTTCATATGCCATCTTTGTCACGGGCTACGACCGGCTGGGGCATTCCAAACAGCAGAATTTGTTTATGATCCTGCTGGTGGCCAACGTAGGCGGCCTTTTGCTAATTATGGTCGGAGGCTGGTATTTTGCGGGTCGATTCTTACGCCCCTTAGCCAGTATGGTAACCATGGTTAGGGATGTACAGCACGTATCGGATAACCATTTACAGCTCCGGTTAAACGAAGGGAATCAAACGGATGAAATTGCCCAGCTGGCCATCACCTTCAATCAGCTGTTGACCCAGCTTCAGGCTACCTTCGAGAGCCAGCGTCAGTTCGTTTCCCACGCCTCCCACGAGCTGCGTACCCCCTTGACGACAGTCTTGGGAACACTGGAAACCTCCCACCAGTATGATACCGATCCGGCTGACTTTCGAATCAGCATGGAAGTAG